TGGTAATTTAAAATAAAAAATTGGGGATCAAACAGGACTCCTGCTGCAAAAATGCCCTATTTTTGAATAATGAATTTTTAACAAGCTAATTAGAAAAATTTATAAAATGTTGAATTTAACATTGTTATTAGCTTAAAACAGTATTTATTAATCATAAATGGTAAAGTATACACAATACAGATGTCAATACATGACATTATTAGTAAAGTGTATTTTAAAAGTTGTTTCCCTTACAGGTTTACTTTTCCATTTAATCTATAAAAAGCAGGGCTGTGAAGTCAGAGTCAGTAAAACTATACCAACCCAGTTGAATTTAAACTTTATTTAAAAAAATATAGAATTTTTATTTCTTCTACTGTATATCTACTATTTCCTTTAAAGAAATTCATCTCAACTTCTTTTTTAATGTCATTTTATTTTTTGTAGTTATTTTGTATTTGCAAAACTATATAATGTAAAAAATCTTATAGAATTTTTATTTTTGCTATGTCTTTTACATCCTGTAAAAGATTATATTTCAATTTTTGTTATAAAGTAGTTTTTTTTTTTTTAGTTCGTCTTATTAGTACTTTATTTTAGTACTAGGTCAGACATATTGTGAACACTTAAATTTGGATAGAGTTTTTTTTTTGGGGGGGGGAGTACATATTTAAGAGAAACTTTTTATATAGGTACTTCCACAAAAAAATGAATAATGAATTCATTTTTTTTTAAGAATGTTTTCATTTTTTTAATTAGAATAATTTATAAAGTTTTTAAATCTTAAAATTCACTTTCAATGGTGCAAAGGTTAGAGAGTATTATTAAGTAAAACTATATTTACTAATCATAAATCAAAAAGCTTATTACAATATGAAGCATTTCAGTATTAAAAAGAATTTTGAATTTTTTTTGTATGTGTATAAATTTGTTGATTTTTATAGATACAGACACCTATATATGACATTATCAGAAAATAAGTGTGATAACTATAGTAAGTTTAAGGCCAGAAAGTATCAAATTCAATAAAACATTAGATTATGGAGAATATTTTCCTACATTCTTTTAGATTACAGAAGTAATTAAAAATTTATATATAAAAGACTCATGTTATACTTTTTATGAATAAAGCCTCAGTAGAAAAACTGGGATATGTCATTACATGATAGTCTTAAATAAACAGCTACCATTGTGTTAAAAAATGATTTTCTGTGATATTTTAAACTTAAAGTAAATATCAACTGTTTTAAAACAGATTAATATTTTAAAATAACTAATATTCTTCAAATAAAGAAAAGTATTTGGCACCTCCAAAAAGAAAGCAATACCCAAGGTTTAAAATGCATTTTAAAATGAAAAAGATCTTGAAATTTTTATTTTAGCTTGAATTCCAAGCTAATAAATTTAATATTTCCAATAAGCAAAATGCTTTAGCTATATTTCAAACCAAATTTAAATTTAAAATAATCTAATAGCTTATTGAATTGTAGGTACTTTGGCATTATAGTCTTCTAGGTACCTCCAATGGGTTGCATAAAAAAAAAAAAAAAAAAAAAAAAAAAAAAAAACAGCAAAGGCTCTAAACTTAAAAAGAAGTTTGGTTATGAAAATGTTATTAAGAGGAAAAACCGAAATTTTTTTTTTTTTTTAACCACAGTGGCAAACTAGAGAAAAAAAAAAAAAGTTTTATTTTGTGCTTTTTTCAAAGGAAAAAAGCACATCAATTTAGAAATTCTTGCAAAATTCAAATAGTTGGATTTTAATGAAACTTGCAGAATATATTCACAAATGAAAAATTATTTTTGAATTTTTTTTTTTTTAATATATGTTACCATCCACTGCCAATTTCATGGAATTTAAAGAAATTAAATTTTTAAGGAAGTGATTTTTTTTTCTTTTTTTATTAATTAAAAACATGACACTTTGGAGAAAGTAAATAATTCTTTTTTGTAAAACAGTTACCTGTTTCATCAAAAATCTGCTCTGAATTTTAAAATAAAAAATGTAGTAAAACTGACATTAATTAGAAAAGCTTTTAATTGCTTTTGTAAATAAGTTATAAGGACACTTGTCTGAAGAAAAAATTTTTTCCATGAATAATGAATTTTTACAAGAAGTTTTTCAGTTTTAAAATTTTTTTTAATTATAATATAATAGTTAAAAAATAGTTTAAAATTCTTCATTGCTTTCAAGAATGCAATTTGGTGATAGTGTTAAGTGAAAATTAAATTTACATATCAAAATTTGAAAAGCTCATAAGTCATTTGTACCCAAATAATTTTTAGTGAAAAAAAAACAAAAAAAAAAAAAAAAAAAAAAACCTAATTTCTACCTACAAGAATCTATACATGACAATCCTTAAAAAGACCATCTGATTTAAGTGTCACCTGATGCACTGCAATTATTTTACATTTAATTCAGTTCTGTTTCATCATTAACGTCTTTGCAAATCATCCCTTCAAAATATCAAAAAAGTTTTTTCTTACTTGCTATTTCACTAAATATTTTTATTTTATGCATTTATTTTAGTTTGGGTCATACTTCAATTATTTTTTTTGTTTAAGTTAGTAAACTTAAGAACTTAGAGAAAGAAAGATAGGACCTATCATTAAGAAATGATTGTATACTACTTTATGCTATAAGTAATACTTATTTCAAATCAGATAAAATATAACTTTAAATTTTCTTATTTTACTCAAATAACGTGTCACAAATCTATAATTTAATTTTTAGAGAATTTTAAACCCAATAAATGCGGGGCCAGTTTTAAAATTTTTTTTTTTTTTTCAAATATCGAGCAATTATTTGACATTCCAATCTATATAATCTTTATCTGAAATACAAAATATTTTACTTACTGAAAATAAATTTAATCTTAGTTTTCAATTAAAATTAGATAAAATCTTCAAGAATGCTTTGTCATTTTTAAAATTTAGTTTTAAAACTTAGGTATCGAAAATTCGGTAGAGGTACCTACTTAAGACCCTTGAGGAAATTACCAGTGAATTTTAAATTTACTAGTTATTGCTCTTATTTTCTGATAAGATGTATGAATGTATTTACAAAAATCAGCACATTTATACATAGGTAACTCCATGAGATTGCTAAAAAAGAGCATAGCATGATGAAAAAGATGCCAAACTTGATGAAAACAAAATTTTATCATCTAAATGTTCATGTTATTATTAAGAGGAAAGATCAAAGTATTTTTGTGGTATTTTTTTTTTTTTTTACATTTTTTAATCGTTCCGAAATTTGTTAAAAATCCTGTTTTTTTCTTTTTTTGAGTCAGCAAAATTGACAGATACTCTATTATGGTATCCATTTTTTTCCATTTTATAAAAAAAAGATGAAAATCTCACTCTGAAATTCTTTTAAAAATCAATTATTTTTTCAAAACTTATTTTAAGAAAATCAGAAATTATGTTTATTTAAAATATTTTGAAAGTCGACTTAGCTTCTGCACCGAAAAGATGTAATTTGAAAAAAAAAAAAAAAAAAAGATTAAATAACCTTTTGCGTCACTTAACAGGTGTTGAATGACGTACTGACAGATTTACGTGATCATAATTTGTTCTACAGAAGGCAAAAAGTGAAAATATTTAGATTTAAGTGAACAAATTATTTACCTCGTTATTTTTAAGGAAACTTTCAGCACTAATTTTTTTTTTTTTTTTGCTTTCACTTTACGTTTTGACCTTTATGGAAAATATATTATAAAGAAATTAAAAATAAGACTATTAAGAGTGAGATTAAATTTCATATTTCATAAGAAAGGTATCTATTTATAGGTACCTTTCTTATGACATTTTATGAGTGTACATAAAATACTATAATTTTATGTACATTTATTACATTTTACTGTTATTTGTATTTCCATTCGTTTTATTATTAATTTTGATATTTCATTTATGTAAAAATGTCCTAACTGAGATTAATATAAAAATAAGATCATATAAATTTCATAAGATGATACTGATAGGTACCCTTCTCAGTTGAAAATTGAGAAATCAAATTAACTTCTCTACACGTGCTTAGCAAAAGTAAAGGCCTTAACAGTGGAGAACAATGCTTAGCTCAAATAACACAACTAAATTGTATTCTGGTTGGTCTTCCGTATTTTATAATTACAGCCCAATTATAAATACAAAATTTTTTTAATTACTGCGGATCCTCTGATCCGTCAAAATGATACAATTTACGTGCTAAAAAAAAAAAAAAAAAAAAAAAAAATCTGTTTCATAAGGACACTTTAGGAAACTAATTTTTAATATTTAAACAACTTAAATGTAAAAAATCTATTATAATTAAGAAATAACAAATAATTGTATTAAAAATTCATTTTTCATCAAGAAAGTATTTTGCTTTCAGAAAATATTGTCGATATTCATAAAAAACATCTAAAAGCAAATAAAAGCATTTGAAATTAAATAATATCTTTGTTTCATTGAGTTTTATATGTTGCTGATTTTCAGGGCGGGGGGATCCAATTAAAAAAAAAAAAAAAATTTGCATTCCTCAAAGCCTTGTGCTTTTAACTATTGTAATCACTAAACCTGACGCGATCGAATTTCTAGCGTTTACATAAAATTAGTGTGTGTGTGTGTGTGTGTGGAAGGTTATATATATATATATATATATATATATTTCTGCCATGACTTTAATAGAAAAACATTAATTTCGATCATCTGTGAATAGTTTCTGAAAGTTTCATTAACATCTGACAATTTATTTCTATTTTTGCAAGATTTTCCAAATTAATGTCAAAAAAAAAAAAAAAAAAAAAAAAAAAAATTTTAGAAAATAATTAAATACTTTGGTCTTTCCTCTTAATAATAACAAGCATTTAGACGATAAAATTTTGTTTTAGTCAAGTTTGGCGTCTTTTTTCATCATGCTACGCTCTTTTTTTAGCGATCTCATGGAGGTACCTATACGAAAAAATTCAGAATTCAAGAATGAGAAAATCTTGGTATTTAAAAAGCAATGAATGAAAAATAAAAAGTGAAACAAATACTAACGTAAGATTAAACTTAAAGTTGAACTGCCAGGTTGAAATAGGACTGGCCGTTTGTCCAAAATCATCTAAAAACGTAATTCCAACTTGGATGATTTTAAGCAAGTCAACATTGCAGCGCAGGAGCTGATATTGGTAATCAGCTGAACTTCGAAAATCTCCTATAGGCCGAGCAACCACCCCTGGAAATTCAGTGTCCTGGGAAAAATAAATAGAAAGTGAATTAAGCAAATACAAAAAGAAAGAGTTATTTGAATTTTCAGATTTTAAAGACATCAATTTACAAACTAATAGAATTAATTTTCGTTTTTCAAATTTAAAAGGCAGGCTTCAATGCAATTTTTAGTGTAGTTTACTTTTTAGAAGTAAAAACAAAAAAAACGATCCGTTTTTTATGCATACGTTAATTTAATTCACATCGGGTGGCTCATTCATTTAAAATTTTATTTTGAAATTGAAAATAAATGAATTAAAAATAAGAACTTAATTCTTATATAAACTATTCTACAGAAATAAGTAGTTAGAAACACTATATTTACACGTTTTTGTAAAAGGAGGGAAAAAAAACTTTAGCCAAGATGGTTAATCACAGAAAATATAACATTTCTGACGGAAGTTGAAAGTTGTTTTAGAGAGGTGAAAGTTCGCGATAGAAACCTCTTCCAAATTTTTGAAAATCTGAGATCTTTCTTTACAGATTTATGGCAAATCTATGAAAAATCTACACATTTTTTAATGGAAAAGAGCGAAACCACTTATTAGGCAAATGCTGATTTTTTTTTCCTGAGAGAGAAGATGAATGTGATTGAAGTTATTTTGTAACAAAGTCACAACAAATTGTTGGTAAATGTGGATCAACTATTCTCAACTTTTAATTTACGTACTGGATCTTTTATTAAAATTACATGCTACATTTAAGACGTTTTTTAATTATTTTTTTCAGGCTGTTAAGTGAATCTTGGGTATAGTATTCCCCTCAACACACACACACATCTGGATTTGCGAAGAAGTTTGAAAATTTAAAAAGTCGCGACAGATAACCCAGAAGTACCAAATTGTTTTTTTAATGCTCAAAAGTGGTTACTTATACTATACAGTGATAAAGCTCAATACTGCCTGCTTGAAGAAAAACAAAAAGCAAATAGGTTTAAAAAAAAAAAAAAAAAGAAGCTTAAAACTAGTTTTTCTTTAAAAAGTTTTAAACTTTGAAAGAAATGAATGAATGAATGAAAGCAAACCTCCAAACAGTAAAAAATGTAAATCGAGTGGTTTACTTATCAAAAATTGTAATTGATTGACTATGTATTCGCATTACACAGAATTTAATGTTATTGATAGTTCAATCATGGGTTATTGAATATTGATAGATCCATAAAGCGGTTTCAGATTATTATCGATTAAGCACGTTAGTTTCGCTCTGAAGATTTGTCCTAAGAATCTGACCTAGAAAAAAAAAAAAAAAAAAAAAAAAAAAGAACTGCTGATCAACCTCAACACTAGTATTATTATATTTTCAAACATTGGTGGGGTTGCTAAATAAGGCAACCATAAGAAGAGTTGTAATGAAGACGAATAAGAGGAGGGGGAAAAGTTAGTTTTTATAAAAATGTCTTTACTTACCATCGCGACATATCGATAATGTTGTACAACTTGACGGATATGCCTGAATTCATCTTCTAAATTGCTCTGCCAAACATCCCTGATGCCCCATTCTCCAGTTGGTACTACCGAAGGCATACTGACACCATTTCTATGCTCCAGTGTGGAATAGACAATTCACGTGTTCTCTAACTTGAATGAAAACCAGTTTCTTTTTTAAGAAATCGTCTACCTAAAAGTAAGAGAAACAAACTTATAAAAGAATATAATTAAAATAAAGTGCATGTATAACCAAAGAGGGGATATAAACTGACAATAAATGTGCGTACACGTAAAGTTTTACCAAAAATCACACGCATACAGCTTTGCTAAATATCTTTTCCCGACTTGTCAAACGAAGACATGGACAGTGATTAAAAAAAAAATATCTGGGTAAGATACCTAGATAAAGAAAAGGTAAATTTAGGATACAATAAGGGGAAGTTTCGTATTACAATTTATAAGGAATTTTAAAGAGAGAAAAAAAAAAAAGCATCGTGTCAAATTTTTAAAAAAAGAGGAAAGTCCCCAAAATTATTTATTTTAACAAATTAAAAATGAATAAGTAAGAGATGAAGGATTTTTGGCGTTGAAAGAAGTAATTTCAATCCGATGAAGCCATCTGAGGAGGAAAACGCGGGTTTCAGAAGAATAAGATCATGATCGAAAGAAAGAAAAAAAAACTCACCAAGTGCTTCCTTAAACTTGGTCTTTTTTTTTTGTTGTTTCTCTAAGAATGAATGCAATTAACAATAATAAATGGTAAATTATATTAGGTTAAGAAATTGGAAATATTTAAAACCCGATTACTTTTTGCTAGTTTAGTTTTTAATTCTAAGCCGAATAATAGTAACAATTTTAAAGAGCGATTCTTGGAGCGTGTATAATTAATTTTAAGCAAAAATGACAGAAAAGTAAAACTAACAACCGTTTCTTCAAACAACTAATATTTAACTATTATTTTCTAATTTAAAGATGTAAAAAACATAATGGGCGAATATGAAAGTGGTGCTGCTTTGGTGAGTATCGTTTTACATTTGAATGGAACAGAAAATAAAAGGGTGAAAAAAAAATCCCACTCTAAATAAATGAGAGGGAGATAAGAGAAAGAAAATAAAGCGAAGCTTGTAACAGACAAGTTGAGACACAAGAAAAAAATCAAAATAGTCTATCGTACCTGCAACGCATCCTACATACTTTATCAGTTCTCTTGCGCATGTGTTATTTCTCAAACTTCCGGCCATTGGTTGATTCGTTTTTCCTTTCTTCCCACCATCATCATCATCATCATCATCATCGCTACAACACAACTATTCATTACGTCACATATTATGTGGGATTGCACTTTTCAATTATCGCGGCAAAATACTTATGACGTCACCAATATGTGTGTGAGAACGGTGCACGTGTAATTGTAACGCGTGTACTTGAAGAATCCTTGTTTTTCTTTGTTTAGATATTAATCTTAAACTAAAAAAGAAAGCCTGTATGGATAAAAATAAAATTATTTCATTTTTACAAACTATTAAGTCAGCTATTACAACTCTAACTTTATTTTTTTTGAGATTTTCTTCCTAAATTGCTCCTTTAAAAATTTTACCAAAATCGCAACTGTTTGGTTCGTTTGGGAAATAAAATTTTCTTTGTATTTATTTAATTTAAAAATTAAAGTTAGTAAATGAGTCAATATTATTATTATAATTTAAATTTTTATTGCTTTACAAAGTATTCACAGATATGAAAACAATGAATAGAATTTATTTTCCAGTATAGACTTGAATTTGGAATTAAATAAATTAATTCATAACTTTTTAAAATGCTGACGCATAAAGTTGTATTATTGATGTTTTTATGAAATTGTCACTCGTTTTTAAACATGCCAATGCCCTCATAATCAGTAAAAATGTGCTAACAATGCTTTCTTAATCGGTAAGATATGCCAATGTTTTCATAACTAGTAAAAAAAAAAAAAAAAAAACATGAAAACTTGCTAAGGGAGCTTGTTTTTTTTTTTGTTTTTTTTAGCCAACATACACGATTTTAACTTCTTTTTGTTATTTAGAAGGAAAATTATTGAAAAATAAAATATTGAACTTCAAATAAAAAGCCTTTTTATTTTTTATCACTGCTTATGTTTAAACTTTAAACAGTAAACAGTGATCATAACTTATGAGCTAAAAAATATTTTTTTAAAGTTTCGAAAGTTTTCAGATTTAAAATTTTTAAAGGAACAAAAAACTAAAACATAAAAATATAAAATAATAAATGTAAATTAAATAACAAATTTTAAAATATACACTTTTACGCATAAAAAAATTAATGTTTTTTTTATCTTTGATAATTGTTCTGTTAAGTTAAAAAAGAGTCTTACACTTAAATAAATTTACCAAAAATGTGTTAATTTTTTTGGATCACTTTTAAAATTTCAATTGAGTAAAAATATATCATGTTCTTCGTTCTTCATATGTTGCGGATTCTTATTGCAAATATTGTTAAATTATCAAATAATTTTCTTATTCATCTGTAATTTTAAATTTTAGTTCGCATTTTTTAAACTGAATTATTTTCTCGTTTTCTTTTGTCTTTTTCTTCTCCATTTTTACAGTGATGAAACCAAATTTTGATATTTAAGCAATTTATTTAACTAAAATAAAATTTATTAAAATCAGTCGTTGCAAAATCGAATTTCCCTCTTAAAAAATAAAAGGATAATTTGAACTTTTCTATTTATCTTAAATGGATTTGTTAACTAAAAAGTGGAAAAATAAAAAAAAAATCTATTTCTTTATTATTTCTCTTTGTTTATTTTTTATTTTGGAAAACAATCTTTTGAGTCAGTTCAATAAGTATAATAAGTGGTTTCAAGCTTTGAGAACTGAACCTTTTTAAAAGGTAGTTTTTTTTTAGTTTATGATAAATGGCGAATATAATTAATAATTTTGATGGCATTCCCGTTGATGAGTGATGACTCGGTGTATTGTTTCCCTGTTTAAAAAGTCACTTGATTGTAAATTTGCAAACAAAACATTTGTTATGATTTGTATTATTGTGGATAACCTTTCTGAGTGCAACAAATTTTTAAACAAAGTTTGTAACTTGTAAACTTCCCAAATGACAGCATCATTGTGACATGTTTTAAGGACATCAAATCAACTGATTTTTGTGGAAAAGATTTGCTCCAGATCAGAAAAGATAGACAAAAAAAGTGCTACGAACTTAGTGGGTGGATGAAACGAAACGTTATTTCACAAAAAATAATCTATTCAAAATAGACCGGGAAATAGATGTGTGTGTATATATTAGTGTTGTAGTCTGTATGTACACTGTATGTTTCATTAAGTAAAGGCGACAGACAAAAAAATTAATAAAAACACTTGTTCGAACACAAGAAAAATTAAATAAAAAGTTTAATCGCAGTACCTTCTTGTGTGTCGTCGTTAATTGAAATAGTGTGCGTGTGTGTGTATGTGAGAGAGAGATCTGTGTGTATGTATGCGTATCTAAGTGTATGTATACATGTGTGTTTAGGTGTGTCTGTGTGATTTTATGAGTGCATATGTAAGTTATCAGTGCATATACGTGTGTGTGTAAGTGTATGTGTGAGTGTATGGATATGAGCATATGTGTGTGTGAGTAGATATGAATGTGAGAGTGTATGTGTGAGTATATGTGTGTGTGAGTATTATTTATGTGAGTGTCTTAGTGTACACTGTACAGTGTGAGCCTCAGTCTATATATGAGTGTGTGAGTATATATATATATATATATGTATGTGTGTGTGTGAGTGGGTGTATATGTGAGTATATATCATATATATGAGTGTATACACACACATACATACATACATACATACATACATACATATATATATATATATATATATATATGGCTTTACACGCTTCACTATTTTTGGAGCTGCTCTCACTCCCATACCCCAAATTGGAGCTGGTTCCCCTCGCGCTTCCCATTTTGTTTTTTTGTTTTTTTTTCAAAAGAGTCGCCCCGTCTTCAGCTCCATTAAAAAAAAGAGCGGCTCTTTTTTTTTTTTTTCGGCGATCCATAAAAATAAAATGTACCTTCTTTCATAAACGTTGGACAATTTTGCAATTAATAAGCTGGGTCACATGAGATATTTCGGCACTCAAATTTAATAACAACCAACATTTAGCCTGTCAATGCAAGGCATATGTCCAAAAAGAAAAATTAAAGAATTACCTCAACAAACAGCAAATTTAGTTTTACAAATTTTATTTTAAACTTGACTTTTTAACTTTATTAAATATTAATTTTAATATTTCAATTTTAATATTTGTTTTTCGAAAATTTCCGTCTTTCAAGCTGTAACTCGGTTTTTTCAAAAAAAAAAAAAATTCTCCTCCAATTTCAAAATGAAAAAGCATTCTTGAAGATTTTATTTTTGCATTAATTGAAAGCTCATTAAATGTACTATTTCCAGTCAGTAAAATATTCTGGTGTATTTTAAATAAAAATTCGGTATCTCAACTTCTTGGCCGATTTAAGAAAATTTTCTTAAAAGCGGCCATTTTCTTAATTTTAAGAAATTTTTGAACAAAACAATTTATATACATAAAAAGTAAATTAGAATTTTATTTCAGGACAAAAAGTATCATTTCAAACCAAGAATCACTTTTATTCATCATTCGGACGAATATCGAGTGAAATAGGCGAGAAAATCCAGCGAAAGTTATTACCCGTAAAAATTTCATTTATTTTTTAATAACCTTCTTTAGATGATGATGATGGTGATGGTGGTGATGATAATGATGATGATGATAGTGTTGGCAAAATTGTGTACAAGAGTAAATTGTCAGAAAAATTAAAAAGAAGACTGTCTATATTTCTGAGATGAGGTATTATGTACACTATTTACATTATTTGGACTATTGTCCTCATCTTTGTCGCCATGTTTATCACAACATTTCAGCTGTTGTAATGTCCGGCCTTCTTCAGGTGGTTGGAATGTTGAACTGAACCCTTTATTTCACTCACTGGGGTAGACTGTTCTAGTTCCACATGCCATGTCTAATTGATGTCAGTTATCTCCTAATAATTCCCCTCTCAAATTTCTCCACAACCATAACCAGGTATTGAACTCACACTCTTTGGCTCCTGTCACTGGATCTAACTAACGCTGTGTCATGTGTCCTTGAGGACATCTGGGTATGAATTTCTGGGTATTATAAACCTAATGTCTTCAGCAACCATTTTTTTTGCCAGTGCTCATATTGCAATTTTTGCTGTTATCTTTGAAATTTTTGTTATTGTTATTATCACTTTTTTCTGGCACTTCTTATTACTGGTTCCCATATTGTATTCATTTCTATGCTTGGTCAGCTCAGGAGATTTTTGTGGCCTAGCATATGTGCTGATTCCTTAAGTTTATGAAGTTGAGATCATAGACAAAGAACATCATTGGAAACGTGCTTCTTTACCAAAACCTGGTAGAAGTTGAAATAGCTACACATGAAAATGGAAACTAACACAAGCACGCACACACACACATTTCCTCACTCATTCTCTTCCTCTTTCTCTCTCTTTCATTTTCTCTCTCTCTCTCTTTCATATATTTACCACAGATATAATAATAATAAAAACTCAAAGAGTTTAGCTCAGATTTTCCTTTCTTTTCTTTTTTTTTTTATTGAATACAAACTAATGCTTAAAAACATTCAAATAATTTTGGTGTGAGGAGCACAAACCCCACCTCCACTCTTTAGTCTCAAATAGAGCTGCTTTACGCTCAACTCCGATTGAATATAAAATTAGCCCTCTTCTGCTTTGCTCCAGTAAAAAGGTGTGTGCTACAGGAGAGTGCTTCTTTTTGGAGGGCTCTGTAAAGCCCTGAATATAAATATATATATTTATTTATTCTACATTATACATTGTGAAGCCATCAGAAGTGTTGAAACAAAATGGCTATTTTTGTAGTGATTTTATAACATTTTTATGTTATAATTTTTGAATAGATAATTATATATATATATGTAGCGATTGCTATGTTTTTCCACACCCAGATTTTATTCACCTGCAATTGGCTAACAATTGTAGTTGTTTCTTTGAATCCTTCAGTTTTGAGTTTGCTTGCTTGTTCTGTTAGTTAAATGTAGTGATTGGTTAATTTTTAACCAGTCACATATTTTAAATGTAAGATTAGTTTTTTCCTGTTGCTGTGGAGCCTACCCTTTTTCCATAAAGAGTTTTTTTTTCACAAGTCGTCAGTAAG